TCATGCAGCAGGATTCACAATTAGTTAAACATAGGAGCACCCAGTGCCCATGACCAATGGATGGCTTAGTAAAATGTGTTATACAATGAACAGTTCAGCCTTAAAAAGGAAAGAAATTCTGCAATATATTACCACATGGATGAACCTTGAGAACATTATGCTAAGTGAAATAAGCCAGTCACAAAAACACAAATACTGGGTGATTTCACTTACATGAGGTACATGAGTAGTCAAAATCTCGGAGGCAGAGACCGTAATGGTGGTGGCCAGGGGCTAGGGGAAGTTTGGAGAGTTACTGTTTAATGAGCATAGAGTTCCAGGTTTACAAAATGAAGAGTTACAGAGACAGCCCTAGTCAGTTTGGCTCAGTGGACGGCGTGTTGGCCTGCAGACTGAAGGGTCCAGGGTTCAATTCCAGTTAAGGGCACATGCCCAGGTTGTGGGCTCGCTCTCATCACTGATGTTTCTATCTCTCCCTCTCCCTTCCTCTCTGAAAGAAATTTTAAAACATGTATATTTTAAAAACCTGTTAGTTAAAAAAAAATTTATAGATGGTTGTGATGGCCACACAATAATGTGAATACTTTTTAAAAAAGACATTCTGTGCCTTATTCATAAGGTACCTTAAACTACATGTGCTTTATTTTTTTAATTTTAATTCCATTTCTTTTTCTTGAATACCTAATATAGTCTATTCCAGTGATGGCGAACCTATGACACGCGTGTCAGAGGTGACGCGCGAACTCATTTTTTTGGTTGATTTTTCTTTGTTAAATGGCATTTAAATATATAAAATAAATATCAAAAATATAAATCTTGCCGAAACCGGTTTGGCTCAGTGGATAGAGTGTCGACCGGGTTCGATTCCGGTCAAGGGCATGTACCTTGGTTGTGGGCACATTCCCAGTGGGAGATGTGCAGGAGGCAGCTGATCGATGTTTCTCTCTCATCGATGTTTCTAACTCTCTATCTCTCTCCCTTCCTCTCTGTAAAAATCAATAAAAAT